CTGGCTGACCCCTTCTTAGGCTCGCACGACCTGACCGCAAGAGAACCAGAGATGCACATCGACATTTGCTCTCAAACGCAACATGCTTGGCTACATGCCAATCGATTTCCAACCTGTCGTATCCTTCTTCAAGGAGCCGGCAAGTCTTAAGTCGAGAGGGCTCATCGGAACAGTTGCTGACAGAGGGCACTCGCGCCGTCCATATATACAAGCCTTTGAGTTGGGTGCGTCGACTAAGACTCCTGAGCATTATGCGGTGCCTCTCAACACTGGTTTTCAAAGAAATGAGAGAAGCCCTAGCAGCTTCATTATCAATGAACAACATGACACGGACAAATTCAAACAAATCACTTAAAAGCTGTACAGCATACACTGCCGCAAAAAGTTCCAAAGTGGAAATGACCTTCGCGGTTTCGTTCTGCCACTGATTCATGATTCCAGAAGGGACGATACCAGAAAAGAAAAACCTCCGCACGATCACATCATGATCCACAAAGTAGGCCACCATGCCCACACTGCCACAAGTGTCATAATTTTCAAGAGCAGCATCGGTAAAAATGTAAAGTCTGCGTTGCGACATGCCGGCAGTGAGTCTACAAGGCATTGAGTGGCGTAGAAATTCAATTATCCACAAAATTTCATCTCGCAGTTCATCTGATACATCACGTTTGCCACTTGCTCTCAAGTTAAAGAGTTTCACATGCGAGGCCAAAGCTCTTCCAAAAGTGTGCGTTTCAGCAAACTGAAGCTTTCCACGAATAGAGGTAGCTTGCGACACTGATAATGACTCAGTTTTGCACACCCTCTCCAAATCACTGCAAAGCTGATCGACTCGGGAAGCTTTGTTTCGCACCTCTACAATTCCAGCGGTAGAATTAGAAAAATCGAAAAGGACTCCCAAAGCATCGAACTGTCTCGACATCGGCATGCGCTTTGATTCTTTCCGTGAGATTTTCCAGCCAATGAGCTCAAAGAGGCGCTCAGCAGTGACTTGCGAATCATGTTCAGAGGCAGCCAAATCAATTTGCGGAAAATCATCATAATAGTTGCTCCAGACTAAACCCAGAAGCCGTAGTCCGATTGTATGACAAGCCCTGGCAATACGATTAAAACCGTATACACTTGCAGAAGCACCGAAGGGAAGAACATTGGACACAAACATACGTTTTCTTCCAGAAGGGTCATCAACAGCTAAGGCAGAGCACCACAAGGAGGATTTTGCAGTTAAGATTTGTTTGTACGCCGCATCCAAATCAAGCGTCCTGCCGCAGAGAGTCTTAGCGGCTTCAACATCAAGTGATTTGTGCAGAACGCCTTTCAGGCGCTTACCGTTGCTCAATTTGAAGTGGACTCGCCTGTCATCATTCACGGCCTCCAACCAGGAACGAGCAGTTGTGGAAATACCATCAATACCTGGAAGGTCCAGTTTGTAAGAACTTCCGTACGCCGAGTTCACAAGACTCTCTGACATATCATCGATGGATCTTATCTTGTCAGATTGTTCGAGGCCAAATCTCCTCGATACTACAAACATGGGCCCCAGGCGTTGTACAAGTTCTTCCTCCTCATAAGGTCCAGACAACCAGCCACGTTCAGCTTCGGCGCAAGTGTTTTCCCAAACAGTCTTGAGCACACGTTCTTCAACTCCACATGTGGATTTTGCAAGGATCGTCTTGCGGGTCCATGTCGAAGACTTCATTAGTTGCACATTGCTAATCGAAGGCTCTTTGATGTCTGGCTCAAACTGACCTGTAGGCTCACCTGCGCCAGTTAGTTTGATTCCATTGAGCATTATGTCCGCCAGGCCGTCATCATCAACCCCGGCATCAGTACACATTCGTTTGAAGAGCAGGATCTTCTTGTCACGAATGATGAACTCACGTGCAGGATCCAATTGGTCATGTAACGTTTTCTCCTCGCCCTCAAGTTCCAGACTAAGACGTTCGTAATTGTCCAGTATAAGTTTTCTTTGTTCAGCAACTACCTTAGGCCCATCCGTGAGAAGCCAGAAAATAGCCCTTTTTACATCATCCTGGACCGAGCTGCAGTCGTCAAAAGGGTGTTGAAGTCGAAGAGCTTCTTCTGTGAATTGATCAGGCGTGCGATATATACCAATTTCAGCAATGCATTCATCATCTGTCCCCGTCTCTCCCATCTTAAAGGACAGCAGTTTGGCAGCAAATGGCAATTGAAAATGTTGCATCTCCTGTTCGGTCAGCATGCGTGGTGCTTGGCGTGGCCATTGTAAGGGCCACTTCAACAAACGAACGTGCGAAAATTCAGAAATGATTTGCGGCAGCAAGTTCCCACGCGGTTGCCGGCCACTTTGCGCCGCTCGCAGTTGGTTTGCGGGGGATCTAACTTGTACTTCTTGTTGGGAGGCTGTTGGACAAGGACAATGTTGTGTTGCCGTGCTTGTTCTTTAATGATAGCAGCGACTTTGGAGCACAGTTCCTCAGGGTATTCAGCCTCTTCTGCAGTGTTGAAGCGCCAACCATCAGTTTTGCGATCCACACCCCATGGCAAATGGGTATGGCCACCATCACAGGTGAGAGCAAGAGGACTGAAAGCGCTGCAGTTAGTGTAAAATGTTGTCCATTTGTCCCGGAGCGACCCATGCATACAGGCTTGAAATGTAATGGGAAAAAGGCATCTCTTTTTGATCAGCTTGCGAAACCACGAGGTGGCCCACATGTGTGAGCGTGTAGGATTCTCCACGGAAATGATGCAAGATGCAGGCAGCATAGCTAGAATTTTGCAAATGTTATCATAAACACTGTTGGCAAGTTGTACACGTTCCTTGTTGATACCATGCAGGTTGGGAAGCCCATCTGGACGCTTAGTTGACCTCAAAGGCTTTGGGGCTGGGACGCCTTTCTTTCGAAGACGTCTTGGAACACGTTTCTCGCGGGCTCTCGAACATGTTCCACACGGCGGCGCCGCATGTGCATAAAGAACGGTGGCATGAGAAGCCACCAAAGACTTGAATTGTTCAACGCATCCTGGCTGTGCCAGATCTAGTTGAACAGTGGAGTGCTCTTGTTTATGACGATTCTTGGAATGATCAACTGCAAGAACACCAAAACCAGCTTTGTGGAGATGCTTGGAAAGCCGAGCACACCCAGCACAAAGTTCCACACATAGTACCCGATGGCTCGGACATCCATGCAGCTCGTCTGAATTGCGTTGGGCCCCCCGCTGGTCAGAAGGGGCCTCGCATTCATTTCACTGATGCTCAAATTGGGGGTGTGGCTTGCCACACCCCCATCTCATACAGCAGTGCCAGCCTTTGGGGCATCGTTCACCTGGCTTGGCTTTGCTGCATCCTTTGAGGTTGAAGTCATAGCAGTTGGGTTCACCTTGCGCATTGGTGGGGGCCATACCAATCAGCTGAGGTGGCATGCGGATCAAATTGGTCTTTGCACCTTTGCCGCGACCTTTGCGACCTTTGGTTGGATTGTGGCTCGAATTGGCACGCAAGTTCTTCACTTGGCCTTGGAGATTGGCAATTGTCTGCTGCAGCTTTGCATACTCACCTGAAGATGCGGAGGATTTTGACTTCTTGGGATCCTCCTCTAGCGCATCTGCCTTGCGCTTGATTCCACCTTGAAGAGGTTGAAGTAGCAATCGCACCTCTGCAGCATCCATGGCTTTCAG